GGGTGGGGGGGCGCAGTGGATGGGGATAGGCTATGTGTTTTAAGGGGTAGAAGGTTTTAAGTTTGAGTTTGTCTGGTTTTTTTCTTTTATGGTCAGTACTATTTGTGTCATATGTAAGAAATCTTAAACACCCCAGGGAAAGAAGAATTTCTTCTGTATTTTCTAACAGAAATTTTATAGATTAGCTTTTTTTCTGGTTAGTTCTGTGATCTATTTCAAAGAAATTAATTTTGCATATGTTCTGTGGTAAGTACTTAAGTTCATCCATTCGTATAGGTATCTAGTTGTCTCAACACTGTTAAAAACAATATCCTTTCCCCTCTGAAATACATTCTTGTCTATATAAAAAAAATTGACTTTTTAAATGGAGGCCCAATACTGACCTGTCTTTATCCATACAAATTCCACAGTATGTTGATAAAGACAGTTTTGTTTTAAACACTGAAATAAAGTAGTGTGAGTGGAGAAAAAGGTACCCTTGTATACTGTTGGTAGGAATGTGAACTAGTCTAGCATCTTTGAAAAAAAAATATGGAGGGGGCCTCCCTGGTGGCGCAGCGGCTGAGCGGTGGGCTGCGAAGCTGCCCGCAGCCTCTGCAGTGCAGGTTCGATCCCCGGCCGCTGGCAAGGGTCCCACAAGGCACGACAGACCTCTCCTGCCGGGCCCGCTGCTCCCCTCAGCAGTATATTTCGTCAGTCTGCCTGTTCTGTTCCCCACTCTGGCTCTGGTGAATTCTCTCACCCTCCCGCGCTTCTGGTTGTACCCAGTGCTTGTATAAATAAATAAATAAATAAATAAATAAATAAATAAATAAATAAATAAATAAATAAATCTTTAAAAAAAAAAAGTATGGAGGTTTCTTAAAACATTAAAAGTAGATCTACTGTTTAACCCATTAACTCCACTCCTAAGTATGTACTTGAAGAATGCAAAAAACCTAATTTGTGGGCATATGAAAAAATGTTCAACATTACTAATCAGGGAAATGTAAATAAAAACCACAATGAGATACCACTTCACTCCAGTGAGAATGGCCCACATTAAAAAAGCAGGAAACAACCAATGATATAGAGGGTAAAGGATAAAGGAACCCTCTGACATTGCTGCTGGCAATGGAAACTGGTCCAGCTACTATGGAAAGCTCTGTGGATGTTCCTCAGAACATTAGAAATGGATCTACCGTATGATCTAGCAATTCCAATCCTAGGAATCTACCCAAAGGACACAAAAATACTAATTTGAAGGAAAACCTGCACCCTTATATTTATTGCAGCACTATTTACAAAAGTCAAGACATGGAAACAACCCAAACGTCAGAAAATAGACAAATGGATCAAAAAGGTGTGGTATATTTACACAATGGAATATTACTCAGCAGACAAAAAGACAGACTCTTGCCATTTGGAGCAACATGGGTGGAGCTGGAAGGGATTATGCTAGCCAAAATAAATTAGAAGGAAAAAGATAAATATCAGATGGTCTCACTTATATGTGGAATATAGAGAAACCTAACAAGGTCAAGAAAAAGCCAAAATTAGCAACTTGACCATAGATCTGAGGAATACAGCAAGGGAGAGGGAGAGAGGCGGTGCAAAACGGGAGGGAAGAACACAAGAGAATATAGTGATGGTTCATGGGTAACGTGGTAGTAGAAATACTATGGGGCCTACAACGATGTATGAAAAATATAATTAATTTTATTTTTAATTTATGCATACAAGAACTGGGGTACAGGCCAGAGATGTGAAAGGTGAGAGGATTCACCAGAGACAGACGGGGAAGCAGAACAGGCAGACTGACTGAAATACACTTCTGAAGTGAGCAACGGGCAAGTCAGGAGAGGTCTACTGTGCCATGTGGGTTGCTCGAGCCAGCTGGGGCTCGAACTCGTGCTGTAGCGGCTGCGGATTGCTTCATAGGTTGTGTCTTAACCCCTTGCACCACCACGGAAGCCCAATTAATTAATTTTAAACACGAATTGTGTGATATGAGCCAAGCTTCTCTTATTTGTTAAATGGGATAATCACCATTTCATCTGCTCCTTGTTGGGAATAGATAATATAAAATACTTAGTTTGGCAATATAGGACAGGCACTCAATAAATGATATTTATAAGGGGATATTCAGCTTGAGTAAGAGAGGCTGTCTGAAGGAAATAGCTCTGAATTGAGTCTTAACCAGTGAAGGAATCAAGATGGAATTTTAAAGTTGTTTTTCCCACTAGCATTAATTAATAATGCTAGCATAATTCATAATCCAGTCTTTACCTATCTCAACAACCTTATCACCTTGAACGCTCCTAAATAAACCCTCCCTTCTATCTAGGCTGGTTTACTCACTGACCTCAGAATATGCTTCATTTATTTCTCTTACTGCATAAGCTATATCCATGCCTATTCCTGGAACTAGCCTAAAGTCCGTTCATAAAAATCAACCTAAGTTCTATCTTCTTGATAGTGATCAATCTGGCCATTAGCAATGGCTTCAGTCTTTGAACTTTTCCACTACAGTCTTTGAATTTTTCCCCTCTACACGTTCTTTGCTCTCCCATTACATACGTGCACATCATAGCCCTTAATCATTTATACCTTTGCACTGAAATTCAACGTTTACATGTGAAACCTCATGTCTCCACTGGACTGTAATTCTGTGAGGACTACACTTGATGTAATCAAGAAAATAAAGGGCAAGGATATATAGCATTCTAGTCTCAGATATTTGGTGCATAAACCTACTGATCAGAAAACTGTCAAATGCTTGGACTTTATCATAGAGTTTCTTGTTTTTAGGTTCTCCTATTGACATGTCCTCAACTACTGACAGCAAACTAAATACCTGTCACAGTGGATTATTTAGTCATTTCAAATACCTCAAATCTTTCTGGGAGTAAAGTAAGATTTAACAAAATAAAGGTCAAAACAAAGGTTGGCAGTTAATTCCTCAGACAGGGCTACTATACTGGGAGGTATTAAATGAAAGAAGTTATTGGGAGAACAGGTCCATTTATTTTGAATAAATGCACTTACAACACAGAAATTAAACCATTTTGGGTGAAATATATTAGTTAGATATATTTATTCTTCTTCATCAATTCCTTGAAGTCTGTCTACCTCCAGTGATTCAGAAAACTACTAATGCAAGGAACTTTAGGTCTATAAAATGAACAGGGTTAAAATTTTTAGTGAATGGTGGGCTGAACAGTAAGAAACACTGTTATACAAATACCAAAAACGGTGAAGTGACATATACTGAACTTTGAAAATATTCAGTGGCTAGAACACACAAGATAATATCAGCTTTCTGCTCTTCTTTTATCAGGAGACATTAGAAATACATAGGATGCTGCAGCAAAAGAACAATGTCAAAGTACGTTAAATTATTAAGCAAGCAACCCAAAACAAACCTCAAACCATATCACAAGAGAGCTAAGGTAAGAATTAGGGCTATTTAGGCTATAAAAGGCACAAAATAGAGGCAGAACAAGTAGATACTTTTAAATACTTTTTGGGCAAAAGCAAAAGGAATTATCACTATTTTAATAGGCCCAAATGGATGAAAAGTACAGAAAAATGAAGTCAAGAGCATACTGAAGTCAAAGGCATATTAAATGACCATCTGTCAAAAGTTTAGGCGGTCATATGGAGTATGACACTAAGCCATATAGATTTGCAATGAATTATATTCTCAAAAGTAACACTGACTTTTATAAGAAGAAAAAGTATGGATGATTCTGGTAGCCACACATATGAAGAAAATCTTTTGAGTGTTGCTCAAACTACTGCAAAACTCCAGATGAGAAAGAAGTGACAGGTTATTCTAGGTAGTGGTAATGTTAACAGAAAGGAGTGGAAGGCTTTCAGAAACACTTCAGAGATAGAACTCACAGTATTTGATGACTCTTAGAATAACTGTTTGGTAGAATTCACTGTTTTAATCTAGCCATTCATCTACCAACAATGACAAGAGTAGTAGCAAACACTTACATAGCACTCACCATGTGTCAGGCAATGCTCTAAAAATTTTATATAGATTAACTCATTTCATTTTCACAACCCTATAAAATGGATAATACTATAGTGCACATTTTACCCATGAGAAACTAAGGCTTTCAACATTCAAGTTAGTCTGCCATAAATATCAAAGAATAAATCAGAGGACAGATACCAGGTTGAGACCTACATGATCCCCAAATTAAAGATTTTAATAGATACACTACACAGTTTTAAAGAAAAAGCAACAAAATCCAAGGCAGGGAGCATGTAGGAATGTCAAGAGCCTAGTGGAGCGAAGAGGGTCTAAGGAAAAGAGGACTGTAGCGTAAAAAAAAACACACACCTGCACTGAATCCACACTCCTAGAGGTGGGAAAGCAGGAACTTTTTTTTTTTAAGCCAAAAACAAAACAAACAAACACACACAAAAAAAACTACTCCACAAGCAAAAAAAAAAAAAACCCTGTGTGACTTTCAGGCAGAACCAGGTTTGGGAACTGCTGTCATAGATCTCTCAGGTCTCCTTCTGCTTTAACACTCTAGTTGACCCTCAAAAGGAACTTCCCAGAATGAAAGGAGGGGAAGAGGGATACCTGGACAAAGAAAACGGCAATGTATTTACAATCTGTGCTCCGACATACGCTCAACAGTCTCTCCTCACAGGGACAGAACCAGTAAAAGAAGGCGGGGTGTGGGGTTCACGGCCCAAAGCAGGATCCCCCACCCCAAAGCAGGATCCCCCACCCCCAGGGCTTTCTAGTACCATTAGCATAAAGAAACCCTCCCCGAAGGTGTAGTAATCTGAAAACCAGGGTGAATTCCTCAGACGCGAGTCCAGCTAACCACGGATGCCCGTGTATTCTACGCACTCACAGCCTTGCAGAAAACCCCCTACTTAGGGCCTGCCTGCTGCGAGGCCAGAAGACTCTGGCTCCGCAGCAGAGGTGCCCGCTCTGCAAGCACACCCTCAAGTACGCTGCTCGGAGAGGTGACCCGCTCCACACATACCTGAGGGGCCTCTGGTGAGGTTGATCTCCTCCTCAGTAATCGAGCAATCCACTCTTCCATTCATGTCGCACTGCCCGTCTGGCTTCGCACCTGGGTCAGGTCGGGCTCGCACAGGTGAAGGTGAAGCAGCCCAGGCGCGACGCCCGCAGCACAGCCCTTTCGGTTTCCGCAGCCCCGGACCGGAAGCGGAAACCGGGCGCGCGGGGCATGCTGGGAGTCGTGGTTCTGGGTCGGACGAATGGCGGAAGCCCCGCCGAGCAGGACGGACCGAGAGCGAGTCCCTGTCCTCGTTTACTGTTGGCGCGGGTGGGGGTGAGGGTTAGCGGGGCGGGGGAGGTGAGGGCTGGCGGGGGGCGGGGGAGGGTAGGCGGACGGCGGCGGGGAAGGATAGTAAAGGCAGAAGAAAAAATTGAAATCATAAAATCGCCACAAATGTAAAAAGTGGGGGTGTTATAGAGCAGCCCCGATATTGAATGGGGTTCCTGGCTGTGGGTCCTCATCTGCGCGCTTAAAAAGGGACTTATGAATACTCCACTATAGGCACACACAAAAGGTTAATAAAAGGTTTATTTACAAGGGAAAAGGAAATAAGGAATATGTATAACTCAGGGAGAAAATAGGGAAATAAAGTCTTTAATGCGTCCTACCCGATCCGAGGACCTGGAAACCCAAAAAGCACTCTCAGAGCTGGCCGGAAGCTGCGAGATGGCAAAGAGCCAAAATGGGGGACCCCTCCAAAGCCCACGTGTCTAGCTTTATACCAACCTGGCTGCTTAACCCCACCCTCAGGTCCCAGCCACCTTCCCTTTGGTGGTGATGGGATTTGGAGTTCCCAGTGTCTTTGGCTTTGGCCTGGGGTGGGGGTGGAGTCCACAAAGCCTGTATAGAATTAGCTTTAGGACATCCTTTTCCCCCTAGCAGGGGGAGGCGGGGTGGAAGAAAAGTATTTCCATTACTCAGCAAGCGTTAAGCCAGACTAGGATGGTCGCCAGGGGCAAGCGTTAAGGAAAGCTTTCCCTTTTACGCAGCCACGCAGAGACAATCCATTTTGTGCTTGTTCTCATGTAAGAGGACTGTGCACCCTTGGTGTGACTTTATATGTTAGTGGATTGCCATTATGAAAAGGAAAAATAAAATTCTATGTCAGTTACCCACACCTTGGAGCAAACCACCTAGCCAACTCCTTTAGTTATCTGTTACAGGACACGCTCTTCTTTGATATTTGCATTTCCAAAAGTTGGCTCCCAGGGTTTTAAGAAAAACAACGTTCTTGGGTTTCACCTAACAAGAAGTTTGTTTAGCTATTTAAAAGGCATCTACATTTACATCTGCACAGCTATATCATCTAGCAGAGGAAGGATGTATAATTACAAGTTTGCTCGAGAAAATCCTCTAACTAGGAGAGTGAGATAAAAGTCTCCCTTTTAATGACGGAAAATTCCATTAAAAAAAAAAATCTTACAGTAAGACCAGTGGATGAACTAGCTGTGATTTCGAGACAGCCTTCCTGGCATTTTCAGGTAGAGTTTCAAAACAGGACTTGAAGGAACCTTCAGAGGTCAAAACTCAAAAGCTTAAAACAAAAAAAAAGTCTTTTCTGCAACACCGTGAGTACATAGAATATATAGGCATCCATGGTTAGCTGGACAAGGATCTGAGGAATTCACCTTATTTTTCAGTCTGATTACCACACATTCGGGGAGGGTTTCTTTATGCTAATGGTACCTAGTGCTAAGAAGGTGACCTAAATGTGGGAAGCAGTCTGGAGCTAAACTTCAGGGATTAGTGGGAATTCTGGAGGATTGAAAAATGGAGTTCCAATAATGGCACTGAAATTGAGATTGAATAATCAAATTAGAAGCTACTGTATTTACCAAACAAAACAAAAAAGAGGCAGATTCAGCAGGAAGGTCTTTTATTTGCTAATCCTGAGAAGTTAATATCAAATAGTGGAAAAGACACTGGGGATGATGTCAGAGCTGATCTCAAACTTCAACCATCTTCCATCTGTAAGGCTTTGAGCAGAATAACCTAACGTCACCTAATTTTGTTTCACCTGAAAAAGGGCATAGTAGCTTTTAAAAAGGTTGTTGAAAGACTAAATGAAATGAAACTCAGGTTCATCCCACCCCCACCGGCAATCCTCCAGAATACACATAAAATAAAAAATTTGGTTTAAAAATATTTTTACCGGGGCCCCCCCGGTGGCGCAGCGGTTGAGCGCTGGGTTGCGAAGCTGCCCAAAGCCTCCCCAGCGCAGGTTCGATCCCCGGCTGCTCCCCAGCCACCGGAGGAGGGTCCCGCATGGCGCGCAGACCTCTCCTGCCACCCGCTGCTCCCCTCAGCAGTGTACTTCGGTCCTTCTGCCTGCTCTGCTCCCCGCTCTGGCTCTGGTGAATTCTCTCACCCTCCCGTGCTTCTGACTGTACCCAGTGCTTGTATAAATAAATAAATAAATCTTTATATATATTTTTACCAAGATTGCTCTAAGAGAGAATGTCATTTATAGCAATTAAAACTTTATCCTTACGCCACCATAAAGAAAGCTTGAGCTGGATTGCATCGGTGATGAATCCTCTCAAATTGTCAACAAAGAAAAATACCCACTTTGTATAGTCTTACAGAAAGATAGCATGGAGAAAGTCTTTCAAAATCATTTCATAACCTAGACTTCATAAGGAAAAGAAAAGTAGATGACAACACCTCTCATGAACAGAGAATGAGAATTCTAATCTGATGTCTTTGCCACATGAAAGGAGCTTGGGTGTCTCCAGTGTGTTCTAACAGTGACCGATAAGATGACCAGAATGAAAAATCAACAACTCTTGGATCCCTAAGATACAGAAAGATACAGGGAAACACACTGCTCCCCAGGTTGGAGAGAAAGGCAAACACAGGGAGCTGTGGCTCCTGGACAGAGGCAGAGCAGAAAGTGCTGCAGAAACCTGTCCCAGGGTAGGAAAAACAACAGCAGTTGACAAGCTGCTGCAATGTGTTTTTTCTTGGAAAAATCTGAAAGTTAAAACTCCAAGGGGTCCCAGACTATTGAGAGAATTACCTTCAGGAGCTAGATTAGATTTCCACACTAAATATTGGAGAAAAAGCCTCTCCTGCTTCTGACTAAGGTTGGAAGAGAGGAACCATTTTTGAAATATGGCAAAGAACTCTTTCTTCTTAGCAAGGCCTCAGTCTCAGAAGAAACAGTTAACCAGAGCCTAACCCACTGGGGCAATGGACCTGGGGTAAGGGAAATAACATAAGAGTGGCAAAACAACATGAGAAACACTTGTGAAGTTCCCAGACAGAGGCTTAGGTTTACTAAGGACTGAGATGTCACCATAGGAATGTGGAATACAACCCCCATGCCCTTCCCACCCATCTCAGAAAACACTAGAAGTCTATTTACAAAAATTCCTTTTACTTGGTACATCATATCTGATAATCAAGGAAAAAAATTACAAGGCACGCCAAAGAAATGATGCACTTTTGAAGAGAGGAAGAAAACCTCAGAAATAGAGCAGAAAAATTGGAATGATCAGACTGGGAATTGAAAGCAACTATGGTCGTATGCTGAGGCCTCTGATGGATAAAGCAGACAGCCTGCAAGAACAGAATGTGATATAAACAGAGAGATGGAAATCCTACATGAGAATCCAAAAGAAATGCTAGAGATCAAAAGCACTGCACATTAAGGAAGATTGCCTTTGATGGACCTTTTAGCTTGATCAAAAACCAGGTTTTCCCAGATTGAGCAGAAACCAGGAGTAATAATGAAAACTATGAAAAAGGTACAGAAAAGGGAGTAATAAGTACCTAAAATGATCCAGGGTCATCTTAAGTCCTTTCTTTTTATCATCACAAAGACCTGGAAATAAACTGTTTATTTCTGAATGTTACACATGGACCTTGAAATTCTGTAAGACCAAGAGCAAGATTTATCCAAGATCCCATACTTACCAGGTAGTCAATTTGTTGAAATTCACATGCCCGTGAAATGGAAGTTTTGATCTTCCTGTTTTATCTGCCAATATATACAATCATCTACAGAATATTAAGGATTTGACCAGGCAAGAATTGCTAAATGATTTTAAACACACAGATCAATTTAAATTGCCAAGTCATTTATTTCAAGATGACAACCTCAGAATACCTCTATGTATATGAAATTATCAGAATGATTATTGATCATTTCTCTGTGTCACTTGCAATTAAACTTTCTCCTTCATTTTCAGATAGTTCATCAGGATGCAGGGTCTCTGTATCATCAGTTTGTTTTTCAGGAGACAGGGTCTGTGTCTCATCAGTTTGTTCTTCAGGATACAGGATCTGTGTCTCATCAGTTTGTTTTTCTTTTCTCTTATCAGTTTCTACTTTGAAATAGATTGCAAGACAGAATGTGAGCAGAAAAAAGATTAACCGAACAATAACTAGAAGTAGCATTAGGTTCAAATTACTCAGTATTTTGACACGGCCACGTTTTTCTCTGTTAGGTGGCGGGCCACTATCTACACTACCACCTTCTCCAGTCTCATTACATGATGGTGGGTTCCAACCTTGCACACAGTGGCAATTTTTCTTGTTGTTACACACTCCTCTGAAATTGCATGTGCTGACATCACAGTCAAAACCTATGTCTTCATGATAAGTACATTTCTGTTTTACACAGTACTTTCCTGGCCCACATGTCGCACCATCCACTACCAGCCCCATCTCTGGCACTTCTGCCCCCCAGTGGGCGTCATATCCAAAGCAGGCCTCTTCTTTAACACCCTGGACTATTATATGGTGAAATGTAGTGTGCTCCCCTCCACCGGGAACTAGTCGGACATCACGGCAGTGCAGCATTCCGCAGAACACATTATCTACATGACATGCAACAGGTTTGCCTCCTCCACGTAGTGCCCTCACCCCACAGTTTCCAAAGCGGTCGCCAATCACATTCAATTTTTCATAGCATGCTGGTGCAGCGTCTCTTACTTTGTATCCAAAAAGGGCTTGACACTGCATTTCACGGTCACTACAGTTTCCTTGCACACAAACAGCCAACGGGGAACACGGGGTTCCATCCTGGATGTAAAAGTCATTTGGACAATCGTGGGTTTTGCCGTCACAGTATTCCGGTAGATCACAAATCCCAAGTTTGTCTCTGCAGGTCAGTCCAGGGGGAGCATATTGACAGCGAACACAGCAATCCCCTCTACTGCAAAGACTGCCCAGGGTGAAGGAGCAATTGGTTGCACAACAGGGGTTTTGAAGGCAATCTTTAAAGGTGCCACAGTCACATTCTTCTCCCGAATTTATGACAGTATCACCACAACGGGAAGCCTCATAAGGAAAATTATCATACGGAATGTTTTTGGTACTCAAACAAGAATCCCATAAATGAATCCGATTATATATATTATTATAAGAACAATTGCTCATCATATCAAGAATATTAGGTACTGGGGCCATGAGACAGGCAATTCTTCGAAAACAGGTACAACCAGGTTCATCATGGGGGAGGCCCAAACTATGACCTATCACATGTGCAGCCATACTTGAACTTAGAATGACCTGTAACTGTCTTACATATAAAAATGCTACTCCCCAGTTGGCTTGGCAGACCCCACCCTGGAAGGAAAAATAATAGGCTTTGCCTATTTTTTGGCCTGTAAGAAGCAGTGATAAATCGTGTTCAATAGATCTCCAGATATTAAGATATTTCCATAAACCAAATGTTTCCAAAATGTGAATAGGCGGAGTATACTCATCTCCAAGATACTCAAGATCTACTTTGTTCCATATGAACAAAACTCGTATGTGTATGTCTAACTTGCTTATTTTGTAAATGGAATGCATTATGCTGTTCATCACCACCACATACTGTATAATTTGTGTTGTATTAGGCATTATCCTATAGAAGGAGTTAGAAACTGTGTAGTGTATTTTTAAGTATTTCTTATGTGGCCACCAAAAGTAAACGGGGCCCGCTCTAGGAGTTTCAGTAAAAGTTGCCTCTTCATACACGGGATTTGTACCTTCCTCGCCAATCTTACACTTCTCCACCGCGGCAGTTTCTTCGGTCACTAGAAGAGAAATCACGTGCTCAAATTTGGAAGACGCCTCCAATGGTCTGATTTCATAGGTGAAGTCGTCCACCTGCAACATGCCACGCAGGCCCCCATAGCAGGTGTCCAGCGTGCCCATGGACCCAGGGACCTCTTCCAGGTAGCTATAGTAGTAGCAGTCTCGAGGGATGAAGGGGTAGTCCTCCTGCGAGGCGCCTTGATCATTACTGGTGATAACAGGAAAATGTCTGGGCAGCAGGTTCTTCTTGACTTTCATGTGAACCACGTGTCTTTGGCCCCTGAAGTGAAACTTGTAGGCCAGCTGGCCCGGTGTCCCGGCTCCACGCAACCTGTGGGTCACCTTCCTGGGGATCACAACTTCAGAGGACGTGAAGCGCCATCCTGGTGGGGCGTGGGAGCTACAGACCTGGGGCAGGAGTAGACACAGCAGAAGCAGCCAGAGATCACCAGTCAGGTGGGCCTGGGCCCAGGCAGGCCCCATGGGTGAGGGCACCTGCCAGCTAAGCAGCTGCAGTCAAGTGGAAGGCAGGCCAGACTGTCCCTGACACAGCTAGTCTCCCAGCAGTGTAGTCATGATAGGCAGGGGCAGGCTGGGCTCTTGGTGGCACCCCCGCAGAGGGGGAGGGGGTTGAAGCTATTACATAACAATGGCCTGCTCATTAGGGGAGGCTGTGGTCAGTGCTCTGGGGATCCCAGCACAGGAGAGCTTGGGAAGAGGAGGAAATGGGAGGAATTTGAAAAGTTGTCATAAACCTGGGCTGAAAGGTCCCTTGGTCTCTTGGAGGAGTCATAGGAAAAGTCACAACAATAAGTAGTTTTGTGTCAATTTTATGGAAGGTAGAACCAGGATTAGAACTGATTGTAATGGTAAGAGTCAGAAAATGGACAAACTAAAGCATTTGATGTATATTTAGATTGAATGGAAGACAGCACAGATGAAAAGGATTCACCAGTTACGCAATTCCTTTTTATGTAACTGGATCAGGTTGACGGAAATCTGTGAGATTGGAGTCGTACATAAGAGATAATGTTTGAGAGGTAGTTAAGTTGTGTTTAAGCTTTCAGATCCCAGAAAAACAAGTCATGAAGGCCACCAGAAAAGATGTTGCATAAATTCAGAGAACATCTGAAGGATCTGAAAAGGGCACTTTCTTCTGTATAGAAAGAACCTTTAGGGGTGTGATGTGCAGGATATTGACCACAAGTAATGACCTTGTATAAGTGAAACTTGTTAAGACAGTAACCAGAACTTTCTCACCACAAGAAAAATCATTCTGTAATATGGTGACATATGTTAACTAGACTTGTAGTTAACATTGTTCAACACTTGTAGTGTTGAACATTTTGTAACATTACTAATACGATATCATTATATTGTACACTTGAAACTATTGTAATAGTACATGACAATTACCTCAATTAGAAAAAATCAGTAAGACATGGCAGTTAAAATTTGGGTAGTCCCAATAACATGATTTCAACTGATATAGAGCAAGAGAGGAAAGGGAAAAAGCAGAAATAGAAAGAGGGCCTTGCTTGCTGGGCTGTTAGAAGTTAGCAACTGTGCGATCCCCTTCTGGAACTGAGTAGAAGAGAGGGAGGGCTCTGCCATCAAGGTGAACTGTGGGTGTGAGGAATGTGTGGGCCTGTTGCTGGGCTGTTGGAAGCTAGCAACTGTGCGACCCTCTTCTGGAACTGAATAGAAGAGAGGGAGGGTTCCACAAAGAAAGGTGAACAGGAAAGTGTGGGCTTACCCAAGCTGCCAGAGGCGCCCTTTCAGAACTGAGTAGGAGAGAGGGAGGACACTGTTGTCAAGGAGAACTATGGGTTCCAGGAAAGTGTGGGTCTGCCAGATGGGCTGCTGGAAGCCAGCAGCCCTATGATTCCCTTCTGGAACTGAGTAAATATTGAGGAGAGGGCTCAGCAAACAAAGGATAAGATGGGGATGCAGGGGAAGAAACCAGCAGCAAACAGAGACTTGGTGATCTCAGGGACAGCGCCCATCAACCCATGCACAGCATCACTATCCTTGTGGAGTCTGGCATAACAGTGCCTGACTCAGTCTGGCCACCAGTTTCTGACATCCCAGAAGGAGCACCCCAAAGAGATGCCGGCCATTACCAGTGGCACAGTGGCCCAACGCACAGAAAAAATCAGAAAACAAACAACAGGGAGAAGGAAAAATACAAATAACCACGCAAGCCCTCTGGGGAAGGGCACACCACAAAAAGAAAATCAGCCCACAGAACTCAACAACAATGACACGGAGAACTTTTCTGCCTGTCAGATAGACAAATTGGAATTGCCATTATTAAAAAACATAAAGAAGATAAAAAAGAAAAGACTTATATGAGAAATATAATTAATGAATTGAAGAATGAAACTGAGTCTTTAAAGAAGGAAATGAAAGAAACACAGGGTATTAAAAGCTCCGTTCCATAGTGGTTGCACCAAATTTGCACTCCCACCAGCAATGTAGGAGAGTTCCTTTTTCACTACATCCTTCCAACAACATTTGTTGTTGCTGTTTGTTTGTTTGATATGTGCCATTCTTACTGGTGTGAGGTGGTATCTCATTGTGATTTTGATTTGCATGTCCCTGATGATAAGGGATGTTGAACATTTTTTCATATGCCTGTTGGCCATTTGCATTTCCTCTTTGGAGAGGTGTCTTTCAAGTTCTTCTGCCCATTTTTTTTCTGGATTGTATACTTTGTTTTTGTTGAGTCATGTGAGTTCTTTGTATATCTTTGAGATCAGCACCTTATCAGTTGTATGGAGTGCAAAGATTTTTTTCCCCAATCAGTGGGGTGTCTCTTTGTTTTGGTTGGTGTCTCTTTTGCTGTACAGAAGCTTTTCAGTTCTATGTAATCCCAGGTGTTTATCTTTTCCTTCACTTTCTTTGCTTTGGGTGATGAGTCTTTAAATATGTTACTCAGATGTATGTCTTATAGTATTTTACCTATATTTTCCTCTATATAGTCTATGGTTTCATGTCTTACGTCCAGATCTTTTATCCATTTTGAGTTGATTTTTGTGTATGGTGTGTGGTAGTGGTCTAGAGTCATTCTTTTGCTTATGTTGGTCCAGTTTTCCCAGCACCATTTATTGTCCAAACTGTCCTTGTTCCATTGCATATTCTTTGCTCCTTTGTCAAAGATTAGTTGTCCATATATGTGTGGCTCTATTTCTGGGCTTTCTGTTCAGTTGCATTGGTCTGTGTGTCTGTTTTTGTTTCAGTACTACACTGCTTTAATTATTATGGCTTTGCAGTATAGTTTGAAGTTTGGAAGTGTGATACTTCCATTCTCCTTTGTTTTCATCAATTGGGCTTTGGCCATTCATGGTTTTTTGTGGTTCCATATGAATTTCATCAGTATTTGTTCTATTTCTTTGAAGAATGTCATTGAGATTTTAATTGGAATAGCATTGAATCTATAAATTGCTTTTGGTAGAATGGCCATTTTGATAATGTTAATTCTTCCAATCCATGAGCAGGGGATGTCTTTCCATTTCTTTGTGTCTTCTTCTATTTCTTTTAACACTGTTTTATAATTTTCTTTGTAATAGGTCCTTCACCTCTTTTGTTAGGCTTTTCCCAAGTATTTGATTTTTTTTTTGTTTCAATTATAAAAGGATGGTTTTTTGATTTCTTCTTCAGATTGTTTGTATATAGGAAAGCTACTGATTTTTGTGGGTTGATTGGAAAAAGTTTTCTTTTTCTTGGGATTAGACAAGGATATAGGTGAGTCTTCCATTCCATCCTGCTCAGGAAGTAACTGGAGTTTTTGTGTTTCCTTCTTTTGGGCTCTTTCACTTGTCTTCTCACATTCCTCTGGGCTGCTACTGCTGTTTTCTGGAGATGCGGGGGCCATCCCAGTCAGACATTTCTTTTCCTTCTTCAAGTGTGACTTGTCTTGTTTCGCCAGCTACCTAGTAATCTCACTAGCCACTTCATCTGTATAAACCACTGCCTCCTTTATGACATCCAAATCTTGTCATGAACTCTCTCCAGCCTCACAGAAGGGCAGTTGCTCCTCAACTTGTTCATGAAGCTTCTACCCAAATATACTTGTGAGTACCCCTGAGAAGTAATCAATTCATGAGACAATACTGCATTTGTTTGCTAGGCATCAGGAGATGTGGTGTTGGTTCTTAGCAGCTGCTCAACAAATGAGGTGATGAGGACTGGAAAATGAGATCATATTTTGGAGTGCTGCCCCTTGCTTCAGAGCTCTGGAAAAGTGGTCCTTTTGCTGGGCCCTGGGAACTACTCATACACCAGGACTGGCCATCACATTGCAGATTTTAATGAAAGTCTTCACAAATTTCAAAGGAGCTTGTTCTCTGACCACTAAAGAACAGATCTAGAAATGTAATAGAATTGTTGCTATGAATGGGGATGATAGCGGAAGACCAGTGACTGTCGGGACAGGTGCCATTTCCCCCATCACAACTTTACATGCATCCGCCTGGACTATAACTCTCAACAGGCCATTTACCAGTCTTCCTAGACTGGGTGGCTGAGAAAGACCAAGGAGCAAGGCAGATCAAGATACTGGAGAGAGAACAGATTGCAAGGACAGGCTTCTCTTGGGGTTTGGTCCTGGTGCTTTTCATGTTTTGGCAGTGACAGTGGCTGCCATCATCTTGACCCCATGGTGGATTATATGGTACATTTTTAATTTTGAGTCTCTCATTTTGTCCCAGCTCTCTGAACCTGCCTGTCCCCTTGGCTGTGGTTCCCTGCCAGGAAGTACATTAGACTTTGCAAGATTTTGGGCCTCGGTTGCCCCTATGTGGGTCAAGCCTTTTTGGGTGAGTGTGTGCACAGGAGAGGAAGGGAAACTTTTGGAGTCTGATTAGGAGCCTGTTATTTGAAATTCTTTCTCCTCTTTATTTCACTCTCATCAGTTGAAGACCTTTGGGTACTAAGAGTATACATTCTTTGCCTTTGTGCATGTTGATGGGTGGACCCCCTAAAGAATAAGCAAAATGGGACTTTCCCCTAAACGGTTTGGGGTCCCCTTGCTTTCATGGTTAGAAATAACCAATACAGGGCCTCCCCGGTGGCGCAGCGGTTGAGCGCTGGGTTGCGAAGCTGCCCGTGACCTCTGCGGTGCCGGTTCGATCCCCGGCTGCTCCCCGGCCACAGGGTGAGGGTCCCACATGGTGCGCAGACCTCTCCTGCCGCCCGCTGCTCCCCTCAGCAGTGTACTTCGGTCCTTCTGCCTGCTCTGCTCCCCGCTCTGGCTCTGGTGAATTCTCTCACCCTCCCGCGCTTCTGACTGTACCCAGTGCATGTATAAAACAAACAAACAAGTAAAATAAATAAAGCATGCCTCTATAAAAAAAAATAACCAATACATATAAATTATTGGAAATTCATCAATGAAATTCTGTACAATCAGTGGTTAAAGAAAAATCACAGCACATACTGGAAAAGAATTTGAGTAGGGGTGAAATTCAAAGCATCAAACTTCTGGGAAGCAGGCAAACCACATTTAGAGGTTAATTTATAATATTGAATAAATGTACCTAAAAATAAGGTATGCTGAATATCATTTAAGGTACTATTTTAATAAGTTAGTGAAAAAGCAAATTAAGTAAAAGAATAAAA